CAGGATTTCACCACATTGCTCAGGCTGGTCTTGATCTCTTGAGCTCAAGTGAGTCTCCTGCCTCAGCCTCCCAAAGTGCTGGGCTTACAGGGTGAGCCACTGCACCAGGCCTGTATTATTTCTTATAACTGAATGTGAATCTACAAAAACCTCAAAATAAAATGTTTAACTTAAAGAAATGGAATCACAAAGCAAGCATTATTTTTTCTGCCAATTTTTTTCAATCCTTGTGATTATTTCAAGCAAAGTCTCAGTTTTCAGCACTGCTGGGAAACGCAATAATGCATCATGGATCCTGGACATGCAAGTTAAGTATGCCAAGAATGCACGGTTCTGACCACTGTTCACTCCAGCCATTTCTCAGAATTGTGTTTGCAGCGAAAAACCTTGAGAAATGAGATAATGTCTCCTTCCAGAACAAAGAGCAGGTATATTTATTGTCTGCTATGAAAGAGGTGGATTCTCCAAGCTGAAGTATTCTTTAGCCACAATGCCAAACCACTGAACGTGCAGCATTCTTCTAGGACCCCCAGCGTAATACCTGCAGGTCTGCGAAGCAAAAGCAAGCCACAAACATGATGCTCATGCTGCTTGCTGTGCTATGTGTAGTATGTGTAGTCTTATCTTTGACCCAGGGGTCTCATGTCTTCAGTTAGCTTCTGTGAAACAGTGACAAGCTACAATGTATTAGCTTAGAAATAGCGTAAAATTAAATCCTGACAGACACCTAACACTAATCTCCCTTTTTAAAATAATAGGCATATGTCTTAGAGCCTTCAGCAGGCAATACTGTCAGATAACATTGTTTTGTTTTTATAATATTCATCTTTACAGTTACCTTACCAGTGGCAACTGTCTCAAGATTATAAAGCTTCCTTAAAGAAATATTACAACATGCCAGACTCCGTGGCTCAAACCTCTAATCCCAGCACTTTGGGAAGTCGAGGTAGGTAGATCGCCTGAGGTCAGGAGTTTGAGACCAGTCTGGCCAACATGTTGAAACCCAATCTCTACTAAAAATACAAAAAATAAGCCAGGTGTGGTAGCACATGCCCGCAATCCCAGCTACCCAGAAGGCTGAGGCAGGAGAATCACTGGAACCCAGGAGGCAGAGGCTACAGTGAGCCAAGATCCCGCCACTACTCCAGCCTGGGCAACAGAGTGATACTCAGTCTCTAAATAAATAAAAAAATGAGACGTGTGTGTGTGTGTGTGTGTGTCCTTTCACAGACAGGCCCCATAACTGAAACTCTTTTTCACAGGGAATCCTGGTATACGTCGTCACTCCTCACCAAAGAAATCTTAATAGCAGTCTGATTTCCTGTGCATCCAATGTCTCCCATGACAATATGAGGAAATATTGTTCTTCTAATTTTTTTTTAAGAAATAAGATCTCACTATTTTGCCCAGGCTGTTCCTTTACTACTAAGGCTCAAGAGATTCTCCCACCTCAGCCTCCCAAAGTCCTGGGACTACAGGCATGGGCCACCACACCCAGCCAAGGTTGTTAATGAAAGCATGGCTTCACATAAAGCTTCTTTGAACAGAATGAATGTTTTAAGCTTTAAGACTAGGATCTGGCCAGGCACAGTGGCTCATGCCTGCAACCCCAACACACTGGGAGGCTGAGGCAGGCAGATCACCTGAAGTCGGGAGTTCGACATCAGCCCGATCAACACGGAGAAACTCCGTCTTTACTAAAAATACAAAATTAGCTGGGCATGGTGGCACATGCCTGTAATACCAGCTACTCAGGAGGCTGAGGTAGGATCATCGCTTGAACCCAGGAGGCAGAGGTTTCGGTGAGCCCAGAACATACCACTGCACTCCAGCCTGGGCAAAAAGAGTGAAACTTTGTCTCCAAAAAAA